TCTTATCCCTTTTGTTCATTTTCTTATCATATTCCTGAGGGTGAAGGACAACTCTGAAGACGCGGTGCCTGATGAATCGGGGATGGAGGAGAATCATTGGGAGATCCGTTAATTATCACTCTATTTGCAATTCTGTTACAGAGTCCAAATGGTAGTTTACGACACCAATTGAAGCCTTATCGGGTAAGAGGTATTGACGTAGCATGACTCCCTGGAGAGGGATGTTAGCGAAATTCAAACATACTTGTGAATGTAAATTCAGACCCATATAGGACTGTAATCAAGGCACACGGCCTATTAAATAAATGAACACTTGAAAATGCAGCCATGGCAGATAATCTCAAAATGTTCTCATTGTTTGCTCTTCCTCCCCAACTGTATGGGGAGGAAAAAGAACGGGTAACAATGAAGAGCTCGGAGTAATCGGTATAATTTACTGAATGCTTAGATGTGCCAAACGCTGTGTGAAGTCTAGTTCACGAGCTGTCTCGTTTAAACCATCTTGTTTCATGCTTCCTACAATTGGGGAAGGGAGGGGACTCTTCCAACCCCCATGTTGGTATTGAGCGACATGGAGGCCGAGTGGTCACCCAGCTGGCCGAGTGGATGTCCTGCGTGCAGGCAGAACCAACCATGTGAGAAGAGCCAGGCTTGGATTTGGCTCTTTCCCTAATGCACGGGGCCTCAGCTTCTTTATCAGCAAAAGGCGGAGGTTGGTGCAAAATACCCCTAAAATGCTCTTGGGCTATACGGTCCAACCGGCTAATTCCATCTGTGGTTGCTTTTGCCCCTGACCCCGGGAATCCAGTTCATGTGCCGTAGCCCAAGGTGCGTGTGACCAATGGGAATGGAGATCATCGTACCAGCTTTACAAATTGGGGAAGCTGAAGGTGAATATCAGAGCAGAAGTGGGTGCTTTTAGGGAGATGCTGGCCTGGCCGTATGCGATGCACCAGAGAGAGATGGGAGTCCTCGTGGGAGACCCGGCCCTGGGTCTCTCTCTCCAAGATTTCCTACCGTCTCCTGCCAGGGGTACCATTTCCCCTGGATGGACTCTGAGCTGCTATTAATAGTGCATCTGGCTAGAAATCTTTTTCTTACCATTCACCTTTCAGTTTTCCATCTTTCACGTTTGTATGTCTTCCTGCAAAGACAAAAGTCTGGAATCTCCCATGTCTTTCCTGAGGTAGCCACAGCTTACATATTCTGCCCTTCCATTTCTTTCTTTTTTTTAAAGTATATTTATTTTGAGAGAGAGAGAGAGAGAGGGCAAGCATGGGGGAGGGGCAGAGAGAGAGGCTCTGCGCTGACAGCACAGGCTCACGTGGGGCTTGAACCCACGAACTGTGAGACCATGACCTGAGCCGAAGTCAAGAGTCAGACGCTCAACGGACTGAACCACCCAGGCGCCCCTATGACATTGCATTTCTTAGCACACAAGTTTTCTTTTACCAAATGTCACTGGGGCGAAGGTCTCCATGGCTCTTGTTGATGCATATTTTTTTACAAAAAGATTTCTTTCTGAGACCAGAATGATCTTGGCATTGGAAAATTTCTAGTGCTAGATCCTCTTTCTAACTGTGGAAGGGCTTATCTGGAATGCCCCAGAACGAACCCAAGTGTTTAGCTAAGGGAGACCTGACAACAGGATATGATTATGGACAGATGGCAGTTGTTGATCTGTTGAAGACAGAATAATGACTCAGCAAAGGAGCTGTTCTGTGGGGCCGGATCCGACTGCCTTCGGCTGAGTTATATAAGACAAGTGCAGCATAGCTGGGGCTGCGGTTTACTGAGGCTCTGTGTGCCAAGCACCGTGTGAAGTGCTTTTATACCACGGGTCTCGTTTAATCCTCGCTGCCCATAAAAACGCACAGGCTTAAGGTCCTACGGCTCGTCAAGTTCACCAATTGCTGGCGTGTGCTTTGGGAATTGAGCTTATCTCCAGAAGTTCAAGATGTTCAGTTTCCTCATCATGCTCTTTGGTAGATTTTCCCATGACTTTATTTGAACTCTCCTTAAATGTGCATTTTTAGTCCTCACTGCCTCTTGACATCGCCCGTTTCTTTGTCGTTGCTGGTACTTTCTTTCTAATTGCTCCGAATTTGTCTGCCTTAAGAATCGAGGGATGGTGCCTCAGTCTGGCATTCTGGAATTTGGCTGATAAGTACATTGTTATCATATCATCATATTACACGACTTTTTGAAAACTTGGACATTGTCTCCTCCTAACATTTTTGTATTTGTTTTGCAGACTCCTTATTTCTTTAATTCATCCTTATGAAGGAGACTTTTCTTTTAATGACTTCAGCTGCCCTTCTCTGAACCTTTTCTGAATATATTATGTCTCAGCCAAAAATCGGAGGTGAAAGTGGTAATTATCATAGAATGCCATGGCCTTATTCCACAATACTTTAGAATGGAATAATATAAGGCATAATGTGGGGTCAGTGAGGTATGTTAGACAAAGCAGTGACCACCAAATATCACTCCGCTCAAATGCAGTAAGAAGGATGAATCAGATGGAACATTGGCCATGAGGGCCTGGACTGATTCGTATTAACTCAAGGATGTGTCCAGGGTGACTGGAAACCATGTAATTAAAGGGGCTACATGAGTATATGTGGGGATTCAGTTGGGAGCCAAGCAGGTTAGGAATAGTTCAGAGAGTAGGGTCTAAGATCAAGCAAAAGAATGGATCACAACAGAGGTAAGGATTATGGGGCTCAGAGTTTTGGGGCACTGGCTGAGAGATAGAAGATCAGTTCTACCAGACTGGTCAAGTACATGGGAAACCTCTGTTTTTAGAGTTGGTATGAGAACTTAGAGGAGCTATCGGAAGGTAGTCACTGATGTGGATGGGTGGCCTTCATAAAATATTGTCTGAAGGTAGGGCCACAGGCTTACCAAGCCCCTTCCTATTTAGGGGCATTGGTTGTCTGCATGGGCCTGCCCAACCTCAGGGAGAATCGTGCTTGTCATTGGTCCCCATGAACGAGCAGAATGAGTCTTCCCAAGGCAGAGTCCTGGGCAGACCGGCATAGAGGATGTGTGACCCTGAGTTGCCATTCAGGAGGAGAATGGAAAGTTCTCCAGAGTTTATTGTGTTAGTATTCAGCTTGTCCTAGAAATAATCTGTATTGAATGTTGCTTAAAATAATCAGGCCGACATTTAAGGCTGAGAATACCTTTACAGCGTTGGGACTTTGTTTTAACAAAATTTACTCTAATTTGAATTACAAATAATCATAGAACATAGAGTTAGAGGGATTCTTGGAGGTAATATATTACATTTAACTGCAAGAAAGTCCTTGAAGTCTTTGCTTATTTCAATTACACGCTGTCTCCTTTATGAGGACTCTCGGGAGAAGTTACTTGTGGTGTGGGTCTAGTATTGGGATAATCATGGTTCTTTTCTTTCCCATTTTTTTTCACTTAATTTTCACAATAATTCTTTGAGGTAGGTAAAATTATTCTAGTTTTATAGCAGAACAAACAAAACCTCAAAATTGTTGAATAGATTTGGCCAAGCAAACTGCTGTTAAGGAAGGAAGTGGAATTTAAGCAAAGTCTGTCAAATTCCAGAATTCTCCTTGGAGTTCCTGACTGGAAGCTCTTAGGTCTTTAATGCAGGCACGGAAGCCTGTGGGGAGGCGTGGCTTCATCGCCTCAAGTAACTGAACTCTTACCGCTTCTCTGACACTCAGCCTCATTGTCCTGGTCCGAGCTATGAGAGTATCTTTCTTTTTTTTTTAATGTTTTTTTAAAATTTATTTTGAGAGCGAGCAAGTGGAGGAGAGGTAGAGAGAGAGGGAGAGAGAAACCCAAGCAAGCTCTGCATTGTCAGTGCAGAGCTCAACTTGGGGGCTCCATCTGACCACCGGGGGAGATCATGACCTGAGCCGATATCAAGAGTCGTATGCTTAACTGACTGAGCCACCCAGACGCCCCTGGTGTCTTTTTTATCCCCTGTACAGTCTCCTACTGCCCCTCTCCAGGAGTGCAAGTCAATGCTAAAATGGTATTTATTGTGCTTCTTTGGATTGCTTTCTTCCTTCCCCACCCGTCTCTTCTTTCCTCCCTGTCTTCTTCCTGCTACTTCACTTCACACCATCGAGGAAATGGAACCATCTCAGGGTCCCCCTTCGTTGTTGCCTGCTAGAACACTTAGGGCCAACTTAGTGTCTGTCTGGAGCTGGTGAATAGAATTTAACAAGTGGGTAGGACTCTGTTCTGCACATTTTAATATCAGTCTTATTTGTGGCTCCGTTTTTATGCCTCTCCTATCCACTGTTTCTCCTGTTTCTTTGTCACGTATTTGTAACTGGTGGTGTCTCAGTAGATTTTTGGCGTCCCTATTATCAGCCCTCAGTGCTTCCTGGAATGAGACTGGGTGTGAGCAGATAAATAGCAGGCCAGTCGCCTCTTTCTCTCAAAATATGGGGATGATTTTAATCTAGCCCGATCTCTGAACCTGGTGGCTTTCACTATTTATTCTCCTAAGTATTCACAAGTCACCAGTATAATAACTAATTCCATTTGGGGGTCAGGGTGGGGGCTTTTAAGGGAGGGCTTCCTCCTCCCACCGATCGGGACCACATTTGCTTCTCTCCTTAACTGGCATCTTGATAACTTCCCCAGACACAGACCCCTGAGCCACACCTTCAGTTCTGGGCCTGAACAGTTGAACTCATTTAAGGAACCCCATTGTTTCCATATTATCTTTCCACCTCCTGCCCTGCACTTACTTCTTTATGATGTTTACGTTACCTTCCTCACTCCCAAGATCATTATCCTAGGGAAAGGCAAACAGAATGTTCCTTTTTGCCATCTGTGGGCACTAAGTTATGTTTGCGAGCAGCAGATTCACTGTATCCGGCTTGTTTTACCCCCAAATGTAACTCAAAAACCCTTTAATTGGCACGTTTTGAGGCCCGGGCCCTGCTGTGGAGCACGGGCACCCCACAGGTATGGGACCCCCCCCACACCCATGTCTGTACCTGTCTGTGCAGTGTCCAGGCTCTGGTAGGTGGCCACTTGGTGCCCGTGTGGCCTTCCTCAGATGCCTCCCTCTCGTTTTCTTCTTGGGGATCTTTCGTGATGGTGCAACTGAAATTTCACCTTTCATAATCTTGCCCGCGCGAAGGGTTGGCTCTGCTGAACTCTTTTGCCGTGGAATCCCACCCGTTTTTCTCGCCATTGATGTCATCCACTCCTTCCTTCTAAAATCCAGCTGGCTACCCAGGACCAGACTGTGCACCACCCTTTTATTCCTGGTCTGCTAGGGCTTTCGTTTTGCTCACCAGCTCCTTCTCTTCTGCCCGCAAAGATAAGCAGAACTTCCTTGTCCAGAAAGAAAGAAAGATTTAAAATGAAAGAAAAGAGAAAAAGATAAGAAAGAAACCCTCTTTGATTTCCTATCCCCTCCAGTGACTGTCTTACTTCCTCCTTTCAAGTTTGCACAGACATTCCTTGACGGTCCTGCCTCTCCATCAGTGGCTTCCCATCTTTCCTTAGACCTTTGCAGACTGCTTCCTGGCCTCCCGGCGCCTTTGAAGCTATGAACTCCTGTGTGGTTCTTCTAAAGAGTTGCCTCCACGCAGGCAGTGGCATCGGGCACAACGTTAAAGGGCCGTCCCTGGTCACGTGCTGGCCAACTGGGTTCCGCAGCCCATTCCACCTTCCTGCATTCCTTGCCTTGTGTCCTGCTTCACCCCTTTTTCTGACCTGGTTACTCATCTCGCTGTTCTTCAACTTTTCCGCCCTCCCTTCCCCTTCCTCTCACCCCACGACTGACAGGTACTTGTCCCTCCGGGCCAACACCCCTGATACCTTCCGGTTCTGTTTGCACCCCTTTTCCAGTTGAGCTCAGTGCATCTACAACCCTGGAAAACCCATCTCCTGACTGGACCTGACCCCCAGGATCTGCCTTCCTGTGTACTGTCCCCTTCTTGTGCACACCATTCCCTTGCTCAAAAATCTTCAACTGCTTCTATTATATAAAGGACTAAGTCCAAGGTCTTCAGTCTTAAGCTCTGGTTACAGCTCACATCCATTTCCCAAGGCATGGGGGAGGGGAGCTACGGGATGAGGGCGCAAGCCCCAGCCACAGTGTCTACATGCCAGTCCTGGCCCTGCCGTGCTCTCCGAGAAGCCCGGTGGTCTTACGCAGGTTTGAGATGACTGTGGAGAAGCGGTCAGCCCAGTGCCCGGCACATAAGAGAGTGTCAGCCATCACTACCTCAGGGCCTTGAGGTGCCGTCCCAGGACTGAGGCGGTCTGGTTTGAGTTGTAAGGATGTACATCGGGACGCAGGGCTTCCGAGGGACCCCGACACAAGGAGAGAGCAGCCTGCCTCAGAAGAGATCGGGGCCGAGGCTGAGCAAGGCAGAGGGCTCATCTCACCTTTCTGTTTGTCTGCTTCGATCTCCTTCTGCAGACTGCCATCGTGCCTCCCCCTGGCCCCTGTCAGGAGCCGATGGTCTCCCCGTAGCTCCGAAGTTTCTGTACCCATAGAGCAGGAAACCAACAGAGAACCAAGTTTTAACTTTCTGGGAGGAAGCATATGGTTGGTCCAGCTTTTGTCACATGTTCACCTCAGCCCAAACATCTGTGGTGTGATGGAGGGTGAACGGCACTTAGAACAAACATGGTGGCAGGAGCCTGCCCTGAGGGCATTGACAGTTCTCTGGGAAGACAGCTGTGGCTTATGGAACGCCTAGAAGACATGTACTGTCTTCTCTCTTCAGTCTCCTTGATTACTTTGTCCTTAGAGGAACGTTCCGCTGGGCCAGAGTCCATGCCAAGTGTGTTACAGTCCCAGTCTCACATTCTCCAGCCACTGCAGGCTGGGGGTCGGGTCCAGTCAGGAGATGGGTTTTCCAGGGTTGTAGGTGCACTGAGCCTAACTGGGAAAGAGGTGAACACAGAACTGGAACGTATCAGGGGTGTTAGCCCGGAGGGACAAGAACCTGTCAGTCGTGGGGCTGGAGGAGGGGACGGGAAGGTGGAAAGTTGAAGAACAGCGAGATGAGTAACCAGGTCAGAAAAAGGGGTGAAGCAGGACCAAGGCAAGGAATGAGGAAGGTCGCCTGGGCTGGGGAACCCGGTCGGCCAGTGCACATTCCTCCTCCTCCTCCTCCCCCCCTTCTCCCCCTTCTCCCCCTTCTCCCCC